GCTGTAAAAGCAAAAGTGAGATGAAGGTGAAATATGAATTTTGTCTTTGAAATAGGTGACAAAAGGTTCTACCAAGTGAGAACTTATTTCCCAGACCTTGAGTATCACTTGTTAGAAATACATACTTGGTGTGGAAAAAAAATCCTAAAATAAAAACATGTGTGATTGAAGAGCTATGAAAGGATACTTTATATCTCCAGGGATTTGGGGAAGTAACTAAAATAGTCAAGGAAAGCTGTATTTCATTCACTTAGCAAGCACTGGAGTGAAAGCACTGGGCCATGCTCATTGCATTTATTTTTATATTGCTGGGGCTCAAAATAAAAGGATTATGAATGAATGAAAGAGTGAATTAGTGAATATGATGAAAAGATAAAATGCTTGAGTTTGTAGGAAATACCACAACACAGTATTCTAGTAGGAGAGATGTTCATCAATGGTTCTAATATAAAAAAGATAATATAACCAGTAAGATATTTAAATAAAGAACTGTACAAGTTCAGAGGATCAAGGTTTTAATTCAAGGTTAAATGTAGACCTGACATCAGTGTTGAGCTTTAAAATATTGTTAGGACAACAATCATGTGATTGTTGCATTAAGCCCCATTCATTCCTTGGTTGTGTGTTACATGGATAAAGTACTTAAAGCAAGGACATCAAAGTTTGAATCTCAGCTCCACACCCAACCCCCCCACACACACTTAACTCCCTATAGCTTCAGTAACTTCATCAGTAACACAAAGGGGATGAGAATATTTAACTCTCTCACTGGTTTGCTGGGAAAATTAAACTAGACAAAGTTTGTTTAAAATACCTGGCAGAGCAGAGTGGATGGTAGTGGCAAATGGCTATGAATCTAAACAGAGGAAAATGATTGAGAACTAGCTGTTCCTAGTCTAGGCGAGCAGTCATTTATTTGGTCTATATCTTCCACAAGGTAAAATTGGCACCTTAGCAATACCTGACCAGACTACTAGATCTCTAGTAGTGGGATTTTAGACAATAGATACTTCTCAAACCCTGGACAAACACAGTGTTCAGGTGGCCATCCTGAACATAATAAGCTACTTTTTCTCTACGGTTAGGATTTATATTGGCAGCTACCAGGACACTAGTTTATTGGTTTCCACATACATAGACTCCAATCTCTCTGCTTAGGCCAGTGAACATTAGGCATTGGTTTTATTAATGCAATAGATGGTTTTCAATAGCATTTCCCTGAGTTCATACAGTAATATAACTTCCTCTTTTGGATTGAAAAAGTCAAATAAGGAGTTGAATAATGTCTCCTAATTTGCAATGGGGACACCCAGAAGTCTGGAAGGGTTATGGGTAATTGGTAGAGTGTGTAATTGCCAGAAGGCAGCTGCGTATTTGCGAAATCTTTCCACAGTTCCATTATTAGTCAATTGCTATTCAATTTTCTCTCAAATATTCCACAAATCGTAAATTCTCATTATTTAAGAAAAACATGTGTAGGGATTACTGTGGATAAACCTTTGAAATCTGGGGAATCTATTTTAAATATCTCCGTCCTGGGCATTTAGTAATCTCATGTCCTGCTCTTTTATTTAGAAAATTATCACAAAAAACTGGGCAAAAATAGCAAAATTACTCTTTAAAACTGTTTTCACTTGTGGTACATTATTTAATGCTCACAATAGTAATGTGCAAGTTAATTTCATCATTTCTGTTTTCCAGATGAAGAAATACAAGCTGAGAAAGGTTAAGTAACTTGCTCGAAGTAACAAGGTAAATCGTAAGTCTTTTAACTCTTTGTCTAGAAATTATTATGCCCTGCTGTTAATACCTGGGTGTGAATTAATTTTAATTAACACTTCCTTCCAAGGGTTATTGGCTTTTAAAAGAACATGGCAAGTAAAGGAATTCATTCATTCGTGCTGGGATTTAAGACATTGCAACCCTTGAGTAAGTAGTTATTTAGAGGATGGAAAGTACCTTCTGGATGTTCCACAAATCCACAAATCACATAAAACTTAGGTGAAAAACACCTACTTGCATTCAAGATTTATTTTGATGATATCATTCAGCTATGACCCTGCTTTATTAGTAACATACGTATTTAAATTCCTGAATAATTTGATTCTTTCTGGCTTCTTCAATTGTGAGTCAGAACAGCAGTTATACAATTACCATCTGTCATAGTGATCATTGGCAGACCAAAGAACAATAATGAAAAGCACCATGGGGGTGTGATTTAAACGTTTGGAATCTTCTAATAATTCCATAATAGCTCTACCACTCCATCTGACATCTTCAAAGTCAGCAATTGATTATTCTTCATGTCAGTAAATCGGACATCATTCCTATAGAACTTCAAGAAACTTGATTGTGTAAGAAACAAAACCTAGTGATCGCATATGAGCTTTGAATGATTTGAAGAATGGTACTCGTGAGAAGGGAGTTATTAGTAGAGTGCTTAACATTTTGAGCTTTGAAATCCTCTGTCATGGATGAAAAAAATGTACAGTAAGTAAGCTTTACACTGTGGGTCTTCAATAAATATTCAAAATAGTTTTAGGAAAGAATAAACAGGCAATGGAACATAGATGATGAGAGTGATGAGGATGATAAGGATGCTGATGAGAATGACAAGGATGATGAAGATGGTGATGATGAAGATGATGATTTTGATAGTGAGATTAGAGTATCCAAAGAAAGAAAATCATCATGAGTCAGGTGCAGTGGGGCACACATGTAGTCCCAGCTATTCGGGAGGCTGAGGTGGGAGGATCGCTTAAGCCCAGGAGTTCAAGGTTAAAGTGAACTATGATTGTGCCAGTGCACTCCAGCCTACGTGACAGACCCTATCTCAGAATAGGAGGAAGGAAAGAAGGAAGGAAGGAAGGAAGGAAGGAAGAAGAAGGAAGGAAGGAAGGAAGGAAGGAAGGAAGGAAAGAAGGGAGGGAGGGAGGAAGGAATGCAGGCAAATGAAGAAGGAATGAATTATGGAAAAGCAAAAAAGAGCTAAAAAGCATTAAACAGCATGTTAGATTGAACTGGGCCACCTTCTGCTGTTCACCAGGCTTATAACCTTGGGAAGTCATCTCATCTCTCTCAGTCTCAGTTTCCCCATCTATAAGTTAGTTACCTTACCTTTGTGGTATAAAACATTCTTTGCTGAAGAGATAGGAATACAGAAAGACATGCCTTTCTTTAGTTGAATGTCTACACCATACTTGATGCTCTGAAATCAAAGGTAATTACAAGCTGAGTTCCATCGCCACCCCTCCCATTCTCTGGGGCTTACACACTCCAGATGGAAACAAATTCATTCACAAGACATGAAGCATAGCCAAGTGGTTAGTGTCCATCGTGGACACTGCAAACAAACTGTCCCAGTGGGAGTCCTCTCTCCATGTATTACCTTGAACCCTACCTGCAACAAAGAATTATCTAGTCCCATGTGTTCATAGTGCCAAGGTTGAGAAACGCTGGTAAACACGGAATACCAGAGTAACACCACGGACCAAGGGATCAGTTCTATTTGAGTTGGCAGGGGAAGGGAAGGCTTTGTAAAGGTGGAGGTGAATAGGTGTTTGACAAGATACCACCACAAGGCAATTCCAGGCCAAGAAAATTCCAGGGCTAAAGCCATTGAGATGAATGCCTCTTGGTTGCCACCAGAGACCTGGGAATCTGAATCTATTTATATCACTTCCTATAGTATCAGGAGCTCAAAGTCAATGGTAAAGATTGTACTTTATAATTTATCCTTTGCATTATTAACTCACAGGTTCCACATCACAACACTATAAGATAAATGTTATTGTCCCCATTTTACAGATAGAGAAACAAAAGCATAGAAAATTTTTAAAACTTGCCAGAGATGGCAAAGCTAGTAACGATCTGCATATAGTTTGTGGTTAAATTAATAATTCAAAATATGTAGTTTTATAGATCAAATAATACCAAAAGAAGTGACTGATGATTTATGAAACACACACACACACACACACAAGACTGTTAAAATAGAAATGGTTAAAAAAAAAAAAAGCGGTTTAACGTTACACATAAAACCTTCAGTAAGCAGAAGGGAATAAAGACTGAAGAATCCTGGGTCTGTGTGAAGTCTGAACCAGAGTAGAAAATTTGACCCTGTGCTACTTCTAAGCCAAGGTAAGGAGGAAAATATCATTAAGTACATAGCTATCGTGGTCTGATAAAAGGAAATCAACTGTTGTCATTCAAGAGGTGGCAAATATTTCCCAGAAACTTTTTTTCTTAAAGTTCATCGTAAGGTACACTGTCGGTCAAGGGAAGCTGAAGTGCTGTTTGTTAAATAGATACATCAGGCTGCTTGCTACGGCAGACTTGTGCTACCTTTTCTCTCAATAATTAAACATTTAGTCCTTTTAGGATGCTGGGTGACTTTCCTAACTTCTATTGCTTTTGACTTTAAAAATAAAGGATGTGCAGGATTTGATCAGTATACAAATGATATATATGATAGTCAAAGGACACAGAGTTTCAATTATGCAAGATAAGTCAGTTCTGGAGATCTACCAGATAGCATGGTGCCTATAGCTAACAATATTGTATTCTTAAAATTTTCTAAGAGGGTAGATCTTATATTACACGTTCTTACCAAACATACATATATTTACACACACTAATAATAAAAATAATAATAATAAAGGTGGCAGAAGAAACTTTGGGAGGTATAGATATGCCTGTCACCTTGTTGGTGGTGATGGCTTTATGACTGAATACTTATCCCCAAACTCATGGAGTTGTATGCACTAAGAAAAGCTTTTTGCATGAAAATCATACCTTCATAAAGTGATTTAATATATATATATATATGTATATGTATATATAAACAAACAGCAAGATATTTCCTTAACTGTTCTTCTGTTGTCATGTTGATTTAACTCAGCTGGAAATCCTGAAACTATGATTAGGATATGTTGCTAAGGATTGAGCCATTAATTTATGGCTAAAAGGAATGTCACCCCCTTCTTCATGAAAAGCTTTACCTCTCAGCTGGGCAGCTATGGGCTCAATTCCTCTCTCCTTCCAAACCAAGGAAAATGTTTTAATTATGACTTAAACAACTGTTTTAGGCACATTCTGAAATAGATTGCCATAGGAATTCTGTTCTCTTAAAGGAATGGCAATTGTTCGTTATAAATATATGTTTACTGTATGTTCTGCTTATGGCTGGGGTCCCATTACCTTGAAGAAAAAGAGAGGCAGCATAAAAGTATTGTACTGACAATAATTTTCAGAAGTGGATTTTTAATTTCTTCAACCAACATATATTGAACATCTAAGTTGCACTGCCCTCCTTTTAACTTTTTAACTATCCTTCTATTATCAATATCACATGGACCCATCAGTGACACATTACCTAGATCAGGAGCACAACAGTGAGCTGTCCTGTAATATGTGTTATGGAAATAGTCCATGCAGTCATCCCATGGCCATTTATCAAGCACATGCTGTGTTCTAGAATTTACGCTGAAATCACACAGTAGGCAGAAACACTGAATTTCTCTGAAACACATTTGTCAACATTTATTGCATTTTTCTCCGGACACCTGTGAGCTCAGTTTTCAGTAAGCAAATTGATTTTTCAGGTGCTTTTCTATAGGGTAATAGGTCTCAAATATCTTCACTCAATACAAAGCTGTTATAAGCCAGAGAAGGACTTGCAAAACCGTAAGGTAAACCCTTAGCTCGAAAGCCACCAGACACCAGAGCAATTCATATCCGCTCAGGTATTCTATTTACCAACGCCACAAGCATACATTGAAGTGAAAAGTCTGACAAATGTGCTCTCTTTACTCTCAGCAGTCAAATCCCTCAGCAGTATGGTTTGGTCGAAAAATAAAACCGTAATGCACTTCCAAATCTCTGCTGATTTTATCAGCAGGGCTGTAAGGGTATCCCCTCCACACCACCCACACACCCACACCCACACCTACCCATACACACACACACACACACACACACACACACACGCACACACACATCTGGTGTCCTTTTTCTTTCTTCTTCCTCCCCCAAACAAATTTGCTCTCAGAGAAAATTTTAATAGAACTAAATCAAAGCCGAGTGTTGTGCTGCTATCTTCTGCAAACCAAATGTCACCCCACTGTGCCGTTTTGACTAAGGGTTCAGGGGTTGAGATAGGAGCAGCAGGGCCACAGGTAGGGGATCAGAGCATGAAAAAGAACTCGGAAGGTGGCCTGGCAGAGATTTCGGCTCTCAAACTTGAAAAGCAGTGCACAAGCAGGTTTGAGTTAAGCCAATTTGACACTTCTTGAACTCCTGAAAAACCAGGTGCTGCAAAGCCATCTTGTATAATTCAGAGGTTCTGTGTGGGGAGCTGCTGGGAGAGGGCGAAGTAGCTTTTCCTGACTCAAAATTCAGTGTTGATGCTTGTGGAGACATGAATTCAAAGTCAGAGGCATTTGTTTGCTTTTAATGGAAGAGGCGAGACATTAAAAATAATGTCTCTCTTCTTATTTCTGAGTTGTGATGGGACCACTCTGGTTTTGTCTTTACAAAAATTACCTAAAGTTCTTCCTCATGGAAACCAGACAGGCTGGAAGTTTCGGACTCAGCAGGGCCCGGGAACACTGACTTACATTTGAAAAGTTTTGACAGATACATAATTCTTGGCTTGTGTCTTAGAGTAGACATCATACCTCCTCCCTGTCACTGTCAAGGCAATTGCAAAATATCTGACCCTGGCACCTCAGGTCCAGACCATGAGAAAGTGGCAGTGTCACCATCAACTGATCACTGGAATAAATTGTTCTCAAAGATTCCTCACAGTGACTTTAACCCCTCAAAGAATGTAACTGGATTTTGCAACTCAGTGACTCTCTGGAGGGATAGGCTGCCCTTCACATTATTAATACTTTAAAAAGCCCGTCAATACAGACTGAACCTTTGCACATTTTAAGACTACTTATGAGGAATTTCATCAAGAAATGGACAAATTGCAATACCTGCTTTCTCACAGTGAGCATAAACAGCAGTTAAAATTGTTGTGTGTTTGTTTTTTAAACAAAATACTTCGCATATGCCATGAAAACTCAAAATGTTTTTGTTTTTAGTATCTTAAAGAGATGAAGTCATGAAGCATTAACCGAATAGATAATCTGGTTTGAAAAGGAGAAGCAGAGAAATACTAGGGGGAAAAAGAAAGAGAGAGAGAAGGGAGAAGAGAATAAGAAAGGAGACAGAGAGAAAGAGAAAGAGAGAGAGAGAGAGAGAAAAAAAAAACTAGAGGTAAAAGTATCTTTACAATTATTAGCACTTATAGAAAGATATAGTGAATAGATTATGGAGTAGCAAGAATAAAATAAATTGGATATGAGTCTGTCAAATCCACTAATATTTTGCCATTGGATGAATATTACTTTAAATTTGTTATTAAAACATATAATCATCATAATAATAGTTATATCAGTTACAGAGTTTCTAACACATGCTGGGACCCATGCTTCCAAGGAAAGAATCAGAATCTCTGTTTTAAAGTTGATCAAGCTGTGAGGCTCAGCTGATTCAGCTTGCTCAAAAACGTAATTATCAAATTTCAGTATGAAACGTCAGTTCTTGGTGCTCTCATGGCTGAAGAATGACCAGATGAACCAAAGTAAGGCAAACACAAAAATGAGGTTTATTGAGGAGAGATAGATAGGATTATAACGCAAGAGCAAGCTATAGGTTTACAGAGCATGATACATATGGCACAGATGATGACCAAACCCATTGTTGCAGCAAAGCAAGAGCAAAAGGAAGGGGAAAAAAAAAATGGAGGCCTGGTTATGGTCTGTGTCTTGCTTTATAGTGCCCAGATTGGGACCTACTTGTGGTTCAGAGGTCACCATGGAACCACTCTGATTGGGCCATTGGGAGTTGCATGATCTCAGTGTGACTACGCATGCAGGGAGCTCTAGGTGACTTTCTGTATTCAATTGTACCCATGCTGTTTGGCCTGTGGACTAGAGAGTCCTCTGCATTCTTTTACAGCTGGCGTGCTAAGTTGTGATTGGCAGATTTGTCAGGCATTCCCTCCTTACCAGGTATGGCAGTCCCTTGGGAAAGGATTAAGGTGGGGCAGGACCAAGATGGGGCCTGGAGCCCACTCTTGTCCTTCTTCCCAGGTGGGACAATTTCACCAAGGCAACACAACTACTTTTGTCCTTAAAAGACCTGGAATTCCTTGCTAACTACCTAATATAATCAGTTTTTAAGCACAAGTTGGTTTGAGCCTCAGATATGTGTCAGTAAAATGTAGACAAACTTTTAAGTAGTGGTTCACTCTTTCTTTTTAACCTATGACATACTCGTATACCCAGCAGCAAAGATTTTGCTGAGTTTTGAAAACTATAGTCATGTGAATGTGCTTTTTCAATGTATACCTCCCTTTTCTGGAAATACTGGCATCATTCCAAAGAGACTTCCTTTACTTCCTATGCCACGGCCTCCATCCCTACCCATAATTCTGTGCGCCTCCCTGCCCCATTCCTACCCATCCAGACCTGACTGAGAATCATCATGTAGCCAGTGAACTCAGTCCTTACAATTACTCTGAATTATTTATTTCAGCATTACCAATATGCATCATACTAAAATCTAAGGAAATTTTGCTTTCTCAAATCTAATGAGTGTGTGCTACCAAGTTTTATGGAAAATCTAACCAAATGTGAGTAGCACAGAAGGTGGATTCAAGGGGCATCCATGCTCACCAACCTTGAGAATGAACACAAGAGAAGTGGAGTGCTGGGTTGGAGTCCTAACTTATCATTTACTAGCTGTGTGAGAAGATATAACAAGTGTCCGATAGCCTGGAATCAAATCCTATCTCATTCACTTAGTAACTGCCACTTTCAGTATGTTACTTTATCTCTCTGAGTTTCAGTTTTATAATATATAAATCAGGGATTATAATGTCACCTGCCTAATGGGAATTAAATGAGATGTTTATAGTAAGTTCTTAGAACAATGTCTGGCATGTAGTAAATGCTCAATAAATGGTAGCCATTAATATTATCATCATTATTATAGTTGTTGTTGTATTTACTATTACCATTGTGGTAAGCATTATTATCAATAGCTTTTATCATCCTCAGGTCCTTCATGAAAACAAAGAAAATACAGTAGCAGTTATTTTTTCAAAATAGATTATTGTAGTTAATCATATATATTAATTTTATGAAAAATATGGCTTTATGAAAAAATATAATAATTCACTTAAGTAATAGACTATCTGATGAATCTTATAATCTATAATAAGTCCCAGGAGGGACTGTTCATTTCCCGTGGATAATCAGCTCTCTGGATAGCATATTTTACAACCATCACTGGGTAAATCTGGAGAGCCCTTTGGAAGTTAAGCCCATCCACTTCAGAGTTAAGCCTACTGACTTCTAAATTCCAGTTCTAATAAAGTTCAGTGCTCTCATCTTGGAAATGAGATTCATAATAACTACCTTGAAAGATGGTTGTAATGATTCAACACATAATGTCACAAAGTAATAAAAGCTAACATTTACTGAGGTCTTATATATTTTGTGCCACACACTGGACTAAGCACTTTTTATGTATCAACTAATTTAATCTTCACAGTTACTCTATGTGGTCCATGCTATTATACTCCCTATTTTTGTAATTGTGAAGTAAATTGCATCTTTGGTTATTTAAACTAGTGTTTTCACTGGGCTTGGCATTTGTCTTCAGGGACAAAGCCTTTCAAAGACTCCCCTGGAAGGACTCATTTTAGATAGCCACATTATCTGCCCAGCTCCCTACTGCCTGTCTTGCCTGAATGGCTCCAAGCTGAGTGTGGGAGAATTTACCAGGGAGAAAAACAATTTAGTTTTACCTGGGTGACAGAAATTATGCAGAATGACAAAAGGAGCAGTTAAGTTACAAGTTAAGGATGATAATTCACTCTCCCCAGGGACTGTCACTCAGAAAGCCTTGAGAAAAAATAGCAGCAAAACAATGGCAAGCTCTATTGTTAACAGTCATGTCCCCATAATGCCTTGGCATTGTGAAACAATAAGGCCAAAA